GTGCCAGCAGCTTTCACGCCCCTTGGCAACAATTACCGCCCTGCCTGACTTGTCCTCGTCCATAGGGTACTTTGGTGATTCTCCAACACAAAATGTTACCGCATGGATCAATGACATCCGCCGTAGGCAACAGCTTGCCGTACGTGACGACGCTACCACACGCCTTATTGGCGCAAGTAAGCTCAAAGACCCAGCTCTAAGTTGGCATCTCACCGTTGGACGTAATCATACGACATGAGAAACGTGGAGCGCGGCTTTGAAAGAGGCATTTTCATCAGAATTGGCATTCACCGAGTGGCAGGAACGCGTCACCAGCATTCGACATGGCCTAGAGAAGAACCTACAAGAGTACGCTTACGTGAAGCCATGGCAGATTCACAACTACCTCGTAATGCTTGCCGGCGCCCAGAAAATTGACTACCTACAGCAAGGCCTTAGTGAGGCCGAAGTTATTGCAGACATCGCGACTAATCGACCTTCGACGATGCGCGACTTCATATCAACGTGCACAAGCCTGGACAAGTGCTTTCCAGGATTAGTGTGATGAACTCGAGTGAAGCCATACACCCTGACCTGTGAAGACGTGCCCAGCCGCCCCGCCGCGGTGGTCAAGTGGCTAAGGTGCTCGGCTGCTGACCCGCAGGTCGCGGGTTCGAATCCCGGCTGCGGCGGCTGCATTTCCGATGGAGGCGGAAATGTTGTAGGCCCGTGTGCTGAGATTTGGGCGCACGTTAAAGAACCCCAGGTGGTCGAAATTTTCGGAGTCCTCCACTACGGCGTCTCTCATAATCATACGGTGCTTTTGGGACGTTAAACCCCACAAATCAATCAAATCGATCAAGACGTGCCCAGCCATGTATATCTCATCCGCGTGTTTTACTGAGTAGTTTGTTCAGTCTAGAGTTTTTGTTGGACCAGCCCAAGCCTCACACCATAGTACCGACGTGACATAAGGTTTTCTGCTCTCGGAGTACTACTGAACTGACGAAGAAAAAAAAAGTCCCACTCGTTAAATGAAGACTCTCGTTTCCCTCCTGATACGGAGTGAGACCATTCTGCAATTTTCGGTTATTTTTTCGGTTGCCGTGCTTCCATGCCCTTGTGAGTGTGGTAGCGTTAGGAAGAGGCCGTATTTTTTGCTCGCGAACAAAAGTAACCTGGAATAACCTTACAATGTGAATAAATTTCTTGTACTTTAGCGAATTCCCTTTGCTAAGGGTTTTTCTTTACTACATACACGCTGACGTAAAAATAAACCGTCGTTCTTCAAGGTTGCAAGAGGAGTAACTTTTTATCCTGCTTAGGTTTTTGAGGGAGTATAGAGAGAGCAGTTTTTCACTGCCTTTTTTATGTTTAAGGGGTGATTTCTCAGAGTTAGTTTAAGCGGTAAAAAATAGAATCTGACGGGTGCAATCGGGCGTTGAGTCCACAGTTTTATAAACAGCAAATGACGCAGAATTGATGACACATACAGAAGTTATCATCATTAGAGAAATCAACATAGACACGGACATACACATAACACAGTGATTGCAGAAAAAAAAAACCATCTGAACAGACTGCTCGCGTTATGCAACCGTACTTCTACAATCCTGTATATGTAGGCACAACATTTTTACCTGCCATGTAGTGCTGGTAGGAGAGCTATGTCATTTTGCATCGATAAACTACGAATGCTAAGTGCACGCGTAAAATAAAGTGACTTGCAAGTGGCCTTGAGTAACACCGACCTTTTAGTGTAAAAGCACCTGATCTCACCTTTTTGATTATCCAAATATTTAGCTGGCACTCCAACTTTTTGGCGCCACCCGCGTTAGAACTGCTAATGTACAAGTCCACAAATTATGCCTATGCACACACAAACCACGGCAGTTAAATCATTTACATTGATTGCACAAACACGGTAGTAGCACGTATTCAAGAACGCGGCCAAACAGCGGTGCCACGCCCTCACAGGCTCCGTACCGATGGTGTCAGTAGGCGTTTTTAAGGAGCATGGCTACGCTATGAAAGACAGTTGGCGATCAGAGAATGCACAATTTTTGTCTTCATTTTAAACACAAATGATAAACGCGTGTCTGATATTTCCGGCGTCTTAAGGAGACATGTACTTGGGACGAAAGAAACGGACTACTGCCCGGGTATTCACCGCGCTCACAAAGTGGTTCTAAAAGCGAAGGGAAGAGAATAGTGAGCCCCGTAACTGTATGATTCACGGTGCGACACCTCAACAGTAGCTCACAAGAGATGGGGGTGAGGAGGGATCAAAAGGATAGGATTAAAGGTATATATAGAGAGAAAGATGCGCTATGCCAGCGAGTGAGGGCATATCGATGGGATAGGAGAGATAGGAAAGATGGAAACACGGTCACAGAAGTCCGAGGACGGGGCACCACTTGCGAGAGCTCTTGTCGGCATCAGGAGATGGAGTAGGGCAAGTCCAGTAGGTCAGAGCTGCGCTGTCGTCGAAGGTCAGCGTCAGGAGATGACGTAGGGCAAGCCCAGTCGGCCAAAGCCACGCTGACATCGGAGATCGCGAGGGCACAACCGGTCGACACGGAATCCAGCAAGCGAGTCCCCGCACTCACCAGCGGTTGTTCGCTGGTTGCGTCTGCCTCGTATCGGTGCGCGCGTTCCCGCTGGATGTTAGACAACATTTGGCGCATGAAGCGGATCATTTGGGCTGCACTTTCGTCGTCTTCTGAGGAATGAAATCTATGCGACGCTTCTTTCACCTTCCCCGGACACGCACTGGCCGCTGGCCGCTGGCCGGCTTGGTAACAAAGACATAGCGAAGCATTTCGCTTATCGCTTTGACGTTGTACGGTCACCCTCAAGGAAGCAAACACGGACGACGACACCAGATTTATTTTGGTACCGCTGGAAGCTCTTCGCGACTCTGCACGGAAGCGAGGTAGCTGTGACGTCAAGGTTCGGAGGCTCGCGCTCGGAAGCGCCATGCCACTTGATGTTAGAAGAAGCACGTGAGACTCATAAGCTCAACCAGATACATACAGCGCGAGCTCCTTACACCACCCGTCTCCAGGGCCACCGGACAGCAAAAGCCAACGGTTAGCGGAAAACTGCCAAACAGCTGTCCAGTAGGTTTTTTTCTTTTTCTTAGAGAAGGGCTTTTTTTTATTGCGATAGCAATTATGTGGACACTCTCGGCTGGATTTCGCCGCCGGCGTCAGTGTGGATGTCATGCACCGAATACACAAAAAAGAAAACGAATCTCAGAAAAAGAAATCCGGCGCGCGGAATCCAACATGGGACCTCCGCGTCGTGAATGCGAGGCATTACCCACTGAGACATTGAGAAGTACCTCCTACAACGTTCAAACGGCAAGCTATTCATATCTAACACTTGCCGCTGTTGGTGGGCATTTGGGGGGGGGGGGGGTACTATCGTGTTTTCAACATTATCACCAAGATGGCATAATAAGCGAGCGGCGGCTCTCATCTCTCACGCGTACTTTGGCTCGCGGAGAGGAGTAGAGGACAACCTCCTGCAGGCACTTTTCTCCCGGTGGTGAGGATCTTACGGATTGGCTGGCATTGGGCTTGAGCTGGAACGATTCTGTTGTAGTTACGGGGCGCACAAAGGTCACTGCAATCAATGCACAGCATTCGTTTGCGAAAAGGGTGCGCTTTTCGGACACAGCGAAGTAACAACTGAGAACCTTATTTCCGTTCATCTCTACATGTGAGTACGTTTTGAGCGTCATTTGTGCGTGAAAAACTTGGGGCACGTTTCGATCTGCTTGGCATTCTGCGCGTGATCTTCCAATTTGTTGCTATCACGTTCATTGCTTCACCTTTGCGGCAAAGTTGTGCCCTTTGTTTTTTTGTTCATGGAATTCTTTTCTCGCTCGTTGTGCTTATGAAGCTCCCAGTTCCAGTGACTAAGCGTTGACTCGAGGTCAGCCATGAGGCTCGACGATTCCGTACCAGTCCTTGAAAAAAAAAAAATCGCAGCATGCCCACGGAGTGAATGATGTTGAGTGGGGCGAAGCGTCCGTCAGCCCGTACGTGGTTCCGTCCGTCCGCGCGACCTTCCGTGCGTCCATCTGTGCGTCCATCCGTCTGTCCGCACGTCCGTCCGTGAGTCCGTCCGTCTGCTGGTCTTTCTATCCGTCTGTCCGTGCGTCCATCTAGTGAACACTCCAAGTACCGCCATCTCCCATCTCGCATCCCCTGTGGCACATAACCGCCACCGGTGGCTTCCTCCTACTACTACTACTACGTACATTGGAGGAGAGAGAAACCCACGCCTTAAGGAGCTTCGCCCCTAAAAAACAGTTGTGGGGCTTGAATACCTTCAGTATTACTGTGAGTGCCGCCTCGTGGGGGGGGGGGGGAGGGTCACGTGGTAAAAAACTCACAAACCGTGGTTAAAAATCACGTGATAAAAACACCCTCGAGGTTAAACTGGATTCTGACATTCTTTTACTACGTTCCGCAGAGGTGGTCGTAAAACTATGTCACGTACAACCTTTTACTCCAGCACGATGTAGTATTTTAAACTCGAGAGAGTTTTTAAAGGTTATGAGCGAGAAAAACCTCAAGCTTGGGTAATTTTTGCTTACAGTGTACGTATTTATTCCAGTTCAGCAGCGCTTTTAAGTTTCGGGCTCTGACAGTTGTTCGTCCGTGCTTGTTCCGCGTATGCTCCTTTCATGCATGCTTTCACTTTGAGATGCACACTGCAAGTTCCGAGTTTCTTGACGTTCATCGCGTTTTTCGTGTGACTAGCATTCATGCTTTTATCCTTGCGGCAAAACACTGCACAATTACTGCTCAACCTCCTCTGCGAGGACACGTTTCTATGTCGTGTTATACCGATTCCTAAAATAAGGGATCACACGTTTTTTTTAGCTGCAAATGTTTTCATTTTGTTTAAGGTATTTGATTAATTAATTTAATATTTGATTGATTGATTCATTGACTGATTGATTGAGTGATTGATTGATTGATTGATTGATTAAAATGCATGTGAAGAGCCGCTGGTTTGCTGAGCTGCTATTCAACAAAAGTTCGCTGCCCTCGGAGGAGACCATGTTAGAGGAAATCCTAAATAAGCGAGAGTCCATGCGGCATCGCTACGTCACGTCACCGCGCCACACGATCCAGGAGGACTGGGTCCACTACATGGATGAGCTGGCCAGTCAGATCGGTGCCAGACCGAGAATACTCAAGTATTTCTTCTCGGACAACGAACTCTTCCGCGCGCTGCTCGGACCCTGCGTGCCGTACCAATTCAGGCTCGAAGGCCCGCACAAATGGTCCGGCGCGCGGCAGGCCATCCTCGAGTCACGCCGCAGGGTGATGTATCCGCTCAACGAGCGATGCACGTCTTTCAGCAAGAAGGGCTCGTCAACGTTCCTCTTCGTTTTCTTTTTCTTTTTCGTGCTGGCCATTGCATACGTCCTTTCCGGACAATGAGAACTATCCTAGTTGCTTCGCTCGTTCTTATTGATAAGGAGACCACATGCTCTTGTCCATGCCTATTGAAAAACACATCATACAAGGAAGGGGCATTGTGCCCCCTAAAATGTGTAAGTTAAGCAAAGTTCTGCGTTGAATGTTTTGTCAAGGCATAGGTGCCAGATGCAAGTGACATCATCTGTTTTGTGCTGAATATCGCTGCGTATGAACATAGCACGCCTGGCACTATAAACAGTGCTTACGGGCTAGACGCATACACAGTGGTGTAGAGCTTACCGTTGACCTTGATCTTCTAGGTAATATCGTGTATTATTTTGTTAGAAACAAAGTGACTGCTACTTCGCATTGTCTGTTGCCCTAGTTTTTCAGAGTGTTCATTGCTAGCACATGTTCCCTTGAATTGGCGTTTCCCGTAGACGCGCTTCGACAACTTACAGCCATGGCCGCATAATCAGCAATATAATTTACCATTGACCGATTGCGAGAGCCTTGCAACTAAAACAGAGAGTTCACAGCTTAATCTTATTCTAAAACTACAAGTAACGCTCCATCGAAAAGTTCTGCTCTTCAAAGGAGCACCACATTCACCTTCGAGTGACTGGCTGGTATCTCATTGATCGCATATAAAAAATTAAATTGGTCAAACACTGCCGGTGGAGTTGACGAGAACAGTCACGGCACCAAGTACGCTATGTTGCTGAGAGTACAGGTCAGGTCACTCATACTACAATTGATTGCAGTTAGTAATAAAGAAAGTAATACACCCTTTCGAAATATGCAATTAGCAGGTAGCAGCCCCGCTGTGGTGTGTATTCCACGAAAAAGTTTGACAGCCTGTTACATTCCCTGTTGCGCTGACCATTCAAAATTCCTCACTGTCAATGTGAAGTCGTACCTCACACTTGCTATGTTTTTCTACGTTATTCCAGGTGTATGAATTAAAAGTTTATGAATTATGTGAATTAGCAAATATTTTTTGTGCTATACACTTGTGCTTTGCTAAATAGATTATTGAATAAACATTCATTTGATGTGTGGCCCTGCCAGAGTTCTTCCAATTTAGCATGTGGCTCATTGTATGCTTTGAATGGTAAGTCAGCCAATTCTTGCCAGAACCCTCTTTTATGGCTATACATGCACTCAGGATGTAATGGCTGAAAGGAATTCTCGCCCACTTATGATATTTGAAAAAAAAAAACAGTTCCAGTGCACAGAACCAGCTTGTCTAACACCAGTGGCGTAGCCAGAAGCTTCTACTGGTATTGGGGGAGGGGGTATGGAAGTCATGGCAGCGTTCAAACCTCCCTGGTTCCGCCATTGTCTAACACACGCGAAGAAGAAGGGGACCATACGTAAAAAAAAGGACAGATTGGTGGGCTATTTCGTAGCGCGCAACTCAGAACTATAGCGCAATAATTCACACAGACGATGGCAGAAGACAGGACACAGCACTGTGCTCTGTCTTCAACTGTGTGAAGTTTTGCGCTACAATAGACCTTTTTCAAGCACACTAGCATCGGCAACGGGCACGCAAGCGCTTATGAGAAAAGTTGGTACGTCGCAGCAGCCACCGCGATGAGCGCGCGGGCCTCAGACTTCAACTTTCCGTTTGCACTGTGCTAGCGCTTCTCAGATCAAGTGAACTCGGCAAGGTGTGCTGTATTACTGTGTGCTTCACTCACAAACTTCAGTATTTAGGTGTGATGGCCTGTGTACGATTTGCAGTTGTCCCCCTGTTCAACCAGCTCAGCGGCTCAGAAGCGTCAGTTATTATTGTTATCATTTAGCGTCAAACCACCTTCGGCATAAATGAAAAGAAGTAAAACATGGTTAAACGTGCAAGCACTGCCCATAATCTCAAGGATGAATTAAGAATCAATGTCCTTCGTTCGAAGCTGCTTCCAAGTAAATTGTACGGTTTTGGTATATTTAAGGAATGCTAAAATGGGGGTGCATCGCGCAAGTCACAAAGAGGCAGAAAAAAGCAAAAAACAAAGGCACCTGTTTACAGTTGATTACTAAAGTTCAGTCTCTTGTGGTTTAACGATAGCGAAGGTTAATTGACCTAAACAAGGTGTGTTGTTCTCTAAGATAAGTCTTCGAGATTTCCACAGTGGTCTGGTTAAGGTGACTGTGTAAGATTACCAGATCTTCAAAGGCTAAATTGAATTTGTACGGCTCGAACCGTGAGGTGCGATGAGATGGCTCCATTCAATAAATTTTGATGCTGACTCAGCCAGACTACCTGGCCTTTAAATATGAGATTGCATTTGCATGACTGAAAATGCGAGGTGCGATTAAATGGTTTCAATTATTAAATTTTGATGATCTATCAGGCGCGTGTTGATACATCAACCACTCTGACCAATGCATATATGTGCACACGAGAGGAAATCGGTTAGAAACTTTTGCACATCAATTAAACGAACAATTGGCATGCCTCTCATGGTACTTTTCTCTGCCCACTGCAGATCACTGCGACCTTTTGCGCTCTAAGGAAGAACTGTTACTAAGCTTATTGGGCGAAAAACACAACCCTCACTTCGTAGCGTTTCCCAATTTTCGTTTGGACAGCGCAGAACCATGGCCGCTGGATGAAAAAGCTCATGGCTATATGGCCCGCCGCCTGCTCTAATACTGGCGTGACAGGTCTAGTTTTCTTGAGGGGAGGATTCTTTAGGAGAAAGAAGGTAAAAAAAGCATGGAAATGTGGTATGGAGTGCACAAAAACTGTTTTTCATGCAAGGACACCTCAACCAATACACTCGTGAGGGAACGGGGAATGAAGAGACAGAGTGAAAAAAAAAAAAAGAAACTAGCGTGGTGGGAGGAGGACACGCTTGATTGTGGTGAATGGCTTATAAAAGTCGCCCGGACAAGCTGGTGTCCTCAAAAGTCGCAGGGGCAGAGTGGCGATGGTCCTCGTAGCCGGTTGGGTGTAGGAGGTCCTGCAGGGTCGCACACGGCAATCCGATCAGGCGGTATCTCTTCACGAGCTGATTGCGCGCTTCACCGAGAGCAGGACACTCACACAAGAGGTGGGACAGTCTTTCCACTGCGCCGCAGTGAGCGCTGCCCAGAGGGCTTGCGGCGCACAGACGATGCCTCCGTTCAGCTGGCCACACGGAGTTGGTTGTCAGGGCTAGGAGGAGCTGTCGCTTGCGGTGGGTGAAACCAGTCGCTGGCATGTGTGGAAGTGGCAACCCGAGCGTCGGGATGCTCGCGCGTGAGCTCCCGGCGAAGGTTGTTCGGTGCCGAGTCGAAAGAGCTTGCGCAGTCGGTTAGCGGGGTCTCGGCGCAGTAGGTTCGTTTGGCAAGCTTGTCTGCCGACTCGTGCCCCGCGATGCCGACGTGTGGTGGGAGCCACTGAAGCACGCGATGACAGCCGCGCTCTTGAAGGGCCAGTAGAGCCCCGTGTACATGGACGCGACGGGGGCGGGCTGAGTTGAGTGGCGGGTTCAGCTTACCTCGACGCGCCCGAGTTTATATAAACTCGCACGGACGAGTTGAGGTGAGCGGTGATCGCAGCGACGCTTTGCGTCGAGGCGAGCCGAAAGCCCGTCTTTCATTTTTGTTTTGAGACCAGTTTTCGGAAGAAATTTTTTCTAACTCTCAGAGCAATTTAAATATCGTGGCAGCGCCCAATAACTAGGTTGTGAAAAAAACGCGTGGGTAGGAAGAACACAGCGTTTCCTTGGCACAACGCGTTCACAGCTACTAGGTTGTCTCAAGATGTTCTTTGAGGGGAAGCAATGCGTTGTTCTTGGGCGATATTTAAACATTTTTTACAGCTCTTACAACTTTTTATGAGATAATGCAGCTGCATAACTTGTTTCTATTACTGGCGGTAAGCGCAAGAAAATGGAGCACAAATCAACAAGCCGGCTTTGGTGCATTTAGGAGGCTGCCGAGGAAACCTCGGTGCAGTGAAGTGCGCTTACGGTCCGCCGTTGACAGCCTTGGGGGCAGCTCAATATAAATAATATTTTCTCGCGTGAAACAAAGATTCGTATCAAACTTACAGAAATAAATATCGTTTTTTCACCCTTTGAAATGATCCAAAGAGTGTATTTTTATATGGAGCGCCACACAGACTGATAAGTGCCTGAACATAAGAATTGCAAATTTTTCAAAGTTCATGTGCCAGCGCTTCCAAACTACTGTCTTCGCGACTCGTGTTTTTCCCCCACTTAACATCAACAATGCAAGCAAGCCATGCAGCTGCGTTGTCTCTGGAAAAGTTGAAAAGCTGTAAAAATTTCTGACTTTGGTCAAGAACACTGCATTGCTTCCCCGCAAAGCACATTACCATACACTAGTGGTGAATGCATTTTAACAAGAAAATGTGGTTCTTTTCCTACCGACTGGAATCGTTTTACCGTGCTGCGTATAATATTTCACTTTTTTGAAGTTTCGTCGCAACCTAACTGCCACCATATTTAAGAAATTAAAATTTTCTTTAGAAAATTGGTTCAAAAAATGAATAGTGTAGTAAAGTGACCAACCATTGCTTTGTATAGTGTAATCGTAGATGGTCGCTTCCCCTGTCCCCATCACGTCGGAGTGATGGGGACAGGGGAAGCGGAGACGGCGACGGGCGGGAGAGGTCACGAGCCGTCAACTCAGCGCGACCGGTTATACATGCCCTTTCTGAGCGCGGCGAGTTGGGTGAACCTACCCCCTGTCTCCGGGTCGACGGGACTCGCCGCGACGACTCTCCGCCACGACGCGTCCGCTTATACATGGGGAGGGCGAGTCCAGAAAACCTGTTTATTTCGACTCAACGCGCCCTCGTCGGGTCAATGTAAACGGGCCTTAGGTTGCGTGCAGCGCGCTGAGTCCGAAGCGGGCCAGGTTCCCTCCTCGTGAGCTGACTCAGGGCCGGTTTTTGATTCGCAGAATACTGCTGCACTCTTGACGGCTGTCGACTCGCTTAGGATGTCGGCAGCCAACAAAAGCCCGACTGGCTCAGCTTTTGTCGAGGATGCACAATACCGCAAGCGGCACTGTCGCTGCGAGCCAAGCTGAGGGGCTATGCAGGCGGCAGCAGCAGAGCCATCTAGCAGGACGGACCCATCAGTGAACATTCACGTCCTTCCGGCCAGGTCATCGTACAATCGTGCCGCAGCCTCCTGCGTTATGGCACTGAGCGCGGTGTGTGCTTCGATCGGACTCCCTGCCAGTGCAGGTTCACTCTAAGGGTGAGGCGGCGGCCAGCGCGAAAGGTGCGCGGGATCGCCGGCCACAACACCGTCATAGACATTGAGGAGTTGGCCAACACGGGAATTTGGCACAACACGTATCCGCACGAGCAGGCGGCCAGCGTCGGGTGCCCGGTGAAGACGCTCCAATAGGCACAGTGCGCGCCTGTCCGCCATGAGCGACGCAGGCTACGCGCGAGCTTCCGCGAGTGTCTCGGACACACGGAGCTACGAGGCATTCCGCGACACATGCGGATGGCGCGGCGGTGGTCTTGGTCTGTGAGTCACCGCTGAGGTGGTTGGACTTTGCAGATCGGCAGCATGTACTGCACGGTAAATAGAGCCATCGCCTCGTTATTGTGCACGCGAAGGCAGCAGGGCAGCCGTTGTCACAAGTGAGTATATATCTACAGACGGCGCACAGCCGATTCCACGCGACGCATCGTGTGGCGTACGCGCAGCACCGCCGCAAACCATTGAAGGCGACTGTCTATTGTGAGGCCGAAGTAGCGGACGTCGCTGCGCTAAACTATCGGCGCACCATCTAGCTCAAGGCATGGGAGACGTCGTCGGGCCTCAAAACGAGGGTGAACGACGAGAGCCTTGGTATTCGGCGCCGAGATCAGAAGGCCGGTGCTTCTAACGAAGGTTAGAAGCAGGGCGTCCAGCATACAGCCAGCGCACCGCTGACACTTAGGAGTTGGTCCACGCACATAAAGAACGGCGTCGCCCGCGTACACAACCGAGCGCACAGGCAACACAGCCGTTTGTGGAATGCACTTCGTGAGTAGCGCGAGTACTAAATTAACAAAAACTGGCTGAGGACGCTGCCCTGTGGGA